ATATTATATGTAATATTTAAGTGAACATTTTGCAAACGGTAAACGCACTTTATTCGAAATAGCCATTTAGTTTCCACAAATGTATTTAGTTGGTAACGAGATTAGGTTTAATGTTGTAGTAAAATATTTTATTGTTCAATGCAGGTATCACTATTGTTATAGAAGGCTATTTTAAAATAGCAGCTGTTTAATATCATAATGGATTACGGAAAATTCTAGATACGTGTCGTGAATAAGTAAATAATACACTTGGTATTTTTAATTTTAATGAATTGTTTATCTGCTGCCTAAAAGTATAAAATGGGATGCCATAGAAAACTGACATTTAAGTTAAAGAAAATTGTGTTCACACCAGTTAAGTACTTTGTTCTAAAATGTCGCAACATGATGTAGGTATAATGGCTTATAAGCCTTGTAACTTTCCTGATGAAAGTGGTCCTATAGGGATTAACACGTTTGAACTCATACGTAAATAAAGAATCAAGACAGACCTTTGTAATATTCAGAGTCATTTCACGATAAAATCTTTATCATTTCCCCGCAAAAGAAGGTCATTGTTAGATTTTGCAAGCATTTACATACACCTCTTTTAAGCCGCAAATACACCCCGTTTCATAACGCATCCATCCATACTGCGACAGATAAAATATGAGATGAATTATAGTTCATGTAGGTATCTCTATATGCTACCTGTGCGCATGAAAAGGCCACGGGGTCACACGAGTAACCGAAAAGTGGGATATTTTTAGCACCACCATTTCCTGCATTATTATGTAACATCATCTACAAAAATACCTGTACTTGCTTGTTGATAAATCAATGTCACTTTTATCTAAAATATATTGATAACCTACTTTAAAAGTTTGCGCAGTGTAAACTAAATCTTCTCCGGCATTAGTAACTATAAACAATAAATTGTTTAATCATAAAACTCAGCCTTGTTATGTTTTTAATATGTTTATTTAATTTTACTGGTTACTGTGGTTATTAAGCCTAGAATTTTCGGTTCATAAATGCGTTTTTTAGGCTTTTCGTTCTTTGTTGAAAAAATCTTGAGCAATTTTACAATCATTTCAAATTCGTTTCTAGCATTCATAATATGACCTGAATTCATAAAAAATGTGCACATAGCGTGATAGGAACCTCACGTGTTTAAGCTAAGCGGTATTACGGTGTCCAAACTAGGGCAGTGCAACGACCCAGTAATAGGTACCTACGTTATTTGCAACACCCCGCCGACGAAACTGCTTTTTTACGACACCTAACGGCATAAACCGAAAAGCGATTGGTAAGTCTTATTTAACGCCGTAACACGTGTAGTTTGGTTTCAATTATTTGAATTTACGTTGTAGATCGATTACATAGATTCTTGGGTCAGTAAATTATTAATGAAACAAGGGGTGTGCTCTGTTTGCATACCCAAATTGGTTTGAGAAAAGATTTGGTAATCTCTGTGTGCTTAATCGATCTTTTGACTAGAGAACCTATTTGTTTAGTTGTTATAGAACATTTTCTGATAACAATTACGAGATATAATTATATGTATGTACACTTGCCTGAAACTTTATCAAGTGATAGTTTATTTATTTATCATTTCATGTACTCCATATAGCAGACAATATTACAGAGGACAACACATTAAAAGCATGAGGTGCTTAGGTACTGCATATCCCTTGAGGGATAATTAGGGATAATTTTACCGATGCATGTTAGGTATATTTTTAACCTCAACATTTGTATGCTCGAGTCAAAGCAAGGATAATTCGTGTTGTGCTAATTTACTGTCTGCTTGACGACAAGCAAAGCCTTTTTAAGCAAGTTGTTATTATAGACTTTATGTTAAATGAGAAAAGGCTGAAACACTTTGCAGTCATCAAAATAACTCTTCAGTTATTATTGAATCGCTAAATGAATTTAAATTTATTAGGCAGAACTAAAACTAAATGATTCCTATTGGCATTGTGTACAGAAAAGAGTACCTAAATATTTATGTCGGTTCTAAGAATCACATAATTTATGAGTTTATAACATAAGCGACACTATTATTGTTTACCTATTCAAATAAAAAGTCATGAATAAATAAATATTTTTTATGTTCAATGCCAATTATTAGGTACCTACTTCGTCTGCCCTTGACATTAGACCTGGTTTGTCCAAAGGACATCTTTTAGTCTTGGTGATTAGGTGTAATTTTACTTATCAAGTTGGGTTTAATTTTTTTTTCTCTAACTTTTCCAGGTTTGACGAAAAAGAGAGCATATCGGGCGTGCAGCAGCTCAAGTCTTCGGTCCAGAAAGGCATCAGAGCACGACTGCTTGAACTGTACCCACATTTGGACAACTATATCGATCAAGTGCTCCCTAAAAAGGACACGTTCAGAATTGTGAAATGGTAAGTTTTCATTTCACTTAGTTTTAGTTAAAACTTCAAGGTATTCGACACTTTAACTATCCTCTAGAATTCCATCTTCTGTTAGGCTATTTTGTAATTTTAATTCGAAAGATCGATCGACTCGATTTTGGTCCGCCATTTAATGACATGATTGTGAGAATAATCTCGACTAAAGACGGGCGAGAACGCGATCTAACCTCATCTAGCTCCCTTCGAGAGTTCGAATAGACATCTTTAATTACGTAACAATTCGTTCGCCATGTAGGTACAGATACAGACAGACATTAGTGTTTTTTAAAACAGCTCAATTAATTGTATGTGTATTTGTTATTTTCAGTCACGATCACATCGAAATTATGGTGAACAGCGCTGGAGAGTTGCTGTTCTTCCGTCAGCGGGAGGGACCATGGATGCCAACTTTGAAACTCCTTCATAAATGTGAGTACCACCATAGATAAGTGTAATTAACTATTCAGTAGTCTTTACAAACCGATACTTAAAGAGAATCTTATCATCTGATCAGAGGCCTTACTTAGAACGAGTTAATTTTACGTTTAAAATAGATAATAATCGGCGCTCTAATTGGCCGGCGCCAATGAACTAACCAATCAGAGCGCCGGACGCGGTCTCGTTTCAATTACTTTAAACGTAAAAGAAACTCGTACTTAGTACAAGTAAAATACCTATGGAATTAAAGAATAGTGCCCATAGGTATATTGGAACATGAAATTCCTTCCGAATGTTTGAATATTCACCTTAAGAAACAAAAACACATCAATGTTCCAGATCCATTCTTCTTGCCGATGCAGCAGGTCGACAAGGGTGCCATCCGTTTCGTGCTCAGTGGCGCCAACATCATGTGCCCTGGCCTGACGTCTCCTGGCGCTCGGATGAGCAGCGTGGACAAGGGACAAGTGGTCGCCGTGATGGCTGAGGGAAAGGAACATGCTCTGGCTGTCGGGTGCACTGCTCTATCTACCGATGACATGTAATTATTACTTTGAACAGTTTGTGTCACACTATATCTTGCAGAAAATTGTTTCTGAGTGATAAATGCTTAGTTTCTTAAAATGTAGGGTCTAGACTATGAATAGGGTAGTTTCCTTAGAATGTCCGTCTGGTATATTAATTTAAAACTTTAGACACGTACTTTTATCTTTTCTCACAAAATGAAATACTTTCGACGATATATTACTTAATTTGATATATCGTGTGACGTCACAGCGTGCCACATTTTAGCACGTTATGACGTAACGACCTGTCACTACTAAGCGCCATTTTATCTAAGTATTGCAACTTAATACGAGAAAATAAAACCATACGTGTCTAATATTTTTTCATTATCTAACTGACAACTGATGGACTAATTAGATTTTTAATTTTGATACCCTGGAAACTACTCAATTCTCGAGAAGGTTTTTTCATTTTTTAAGATTTAAAAAAGTATAGGCTAAATAAGATAGATAGGTACATATTAACTGTTCTCATATTAACTGTCCAACTGTGATGTGCTGATCTTATACCAGTATATGTGGCAGTTTAAACTTAATAGTGTAGGTTGGTATATATTTATTTATCCATTATTTTTATTTTCTTTTCAGAGCCAAAGTAAATAAGGGCGTGGGCATCGAAAACTGTCATTATCTCAATGATGGCTTGTGGCAAATGAAACCAGTGAAGTAATTCGAATCTATGTTTATGCCTCCATGTTATTTATTACTAAGCTTTCTCAATAAAGGTATTAATTTCTAAGAGGGATTATTTGTTTTATTGCACCTTTAGTTAAGTACTAATTGAGTATTGCACATCAGCATAAATTGAAAGCCGAATACTAGCGCCATCTATTATCAACGTGGAAGACTAAAGTAACTAAATAAACATTATTTTAGTCCGAATCTAAATTTGATTTTCCCGAGAAAATAAAATTGACCTGTTTTTTTGAGTAAAATAAAAATGATTTACATTACAGATTAGATAGATAACTTCTCAACTTTTAAAATTATTGTTTCTCTGTTGGTTATTATGTAAGTTACCTAGATAGAATACTTTATGTAGGGCCTAGGGCCATGAACCAATAATCAATACACAATTATTTTGATTAGTTTTCTAAGTTAGAATGTTTACAAGAATCTGAGAATCTACAATAAATTTTAAAATCATCTTTGTGTCTGGTGAATGATGATGGATAGATAAACTATTTACTAATTTTACACGAAATGAAATCCAATTTAAAAAATATATTTACGCTCATTACAACAGTATTTCTTTGTTTGTAAAACTTGTTTTAGAAAGTAACAAATAGAAAGTTACTCTTCTTTTATCGCGAAGTGTAAAAAAGGAGCTTAATATTGTTCTAAGAATTTAAAGTTCGCGCCAAATTTTTCTCTCCGTTTCGTTTCACAAATTGTTACATGCACGTCTTATTGTTTCTAGAAAGTAATTACAAAATATAATTATTAACTTTAATCTATCTCTTAGTATGAATAAGAGCTGTTATTTACATTTATTAAATATTTCTTATTGATTTCAATTATTTTTATTATTCAACATTTGAATGAAATTAGAGACGCGATAAAACGTGGACCTTGATCCATGAAACGGAGCGCACATTGTTTTTAAAAATGGCGGCGGCACTTGTTAGTTCGTCTCGTCAGGGTAAATAAAATACTTTTTAAATAAAAACCTTTATATTTTTGCAATGAATTGAGTACAAAATGAGTTGAAATAATATGGATTGAATTTATAATTTATCAAATGTTGCGTTAACGGTAAAAAAGTTGTTTCATGTGACGTTGCTATCAGCTGTTCGTGAGTTGGTTTTTAATATTTTTGAGTAATTAGTGATGATAAAGACATAAATTTCTTAGTTTCAGTTGATGTAGTTAGTTGAAATTATAAATATGAGACCTTGGTGCACAACGTTATGCAATAAAGCGACTAAATATAAAAGTTCAAAGTTCACTCTGGTTTGTTTTGGTGGTGTTTTATGACAAACATTTATTTTTTTACAGTGGGGAGGCTAACCAATGCTGCAAAAAGGTTGTATTCAGATGCTTACCCAAAGATAACAACTCATTACACCATTCACCCAAGAGATAAGGATCCACGATGGAAAGGTAAGTGATAACCTCAAGTTCAAATATATTATCAAAATAACGTCACAATTAGACCTTGATAGCATTTTATTAGTCTACCTACTATGAGAGAAAATTGTATGAAAAACGTTGAAAAACAAACAAATGCGATCATGGAGATACCTATGTACCTATTGTTATCATTAGCCTTCAGTATCCATCAATTTTGAAATCAGCATAATTCTTTAAAAATAGACATGATTAAATAGCCAGTACTACTACTAACTAACCAACCACTCTGTATGGAGGTCTTATTCCATGCATACCTGTTTATTTATAATCTCTTGTACTACATTGATGAGATGCCAACTTCCTGTAGAAATTTCCACTAGTCTATATTAGTATTCATCTTATACATAACTTCCAAATGTAGATTATCTATAATTTTCTTATGAACAATTAATTATTAATTTTACTCTTAAAATATGTTCTTTTTTATAATTGCTTGTCTATTTAACCCATAAATCCCCAAGCGGTCACCGGTGACCGCTTTCCACTAATATTACATTACATTATAGACCTTATTTCTAATGTTTAGAGACTACTTTTGTATGACCAAATTTAGGGGATGGATTTCAACGGGCTAAATAGAATAGAATAGATAATAGACTTAATTACTCAAAATAAACAGAACTATCAAACATAATTATTTATTTGCCTAATGAATACCGGAGTTATTACTCTTTCTCCTAATACTAAAATATCACTACAGTTACTCCAATATCAAGGTAAAAAAATCTTAGTTAAATATATTGGACCACTATACACATTAATACAATTTATGCATGTGAATAACGGGCTAATAAACATACAATGTCTAGAAATAAGTATGGAGCGAGTGGCGGAGGAGACGGACATCCTCATTATTGGTGGAGGACCGGCTGGCATGGCTGCTGCCATCAGAGCTCGGCAGATTGCAGAGGAAAAGGGAGCTGTAAGTATCCAATTCATTATTACTTTTTACTGTTTTAATGAACAATTGCCAGTTGTTAGGAGTATAATGTAATGTCACAAATGGTATAGAACAATTAACCATCATATAAGTAAGAGAGCCCTTAGAGTTAACTAAGTTTAATTTTATGCCAAAGCAATTGCCTAATCCAACTGCAATTTCATGCAAATTGTTCTTTATTGACCTTTGGTCAGCAGTGACATAGCTTGTACTAATAAAAACTAAAGAAAATGAAAACACTTGAAGTTTACTTTTATATATGTTTGCAAAAAGAAAAACAGTTAACATTTCTAATCTTAAATTAATTTGTTTTATATCAACTGTTGCCAACGCCTGTTGTGGTAGTAGATAATGCTTATCAATCGTAATACATTGCTGTTTAATATTGTGATCTTATTGAGAGATAAAGCTTACTATCGGAACGAAGATATATGAATAACTTAAAAGTGTAATAAACATGAACATACACAATTGTATTGCAATTTCACCTCATATGCTAAAAAAAGTACATTGTAGTTATTATGTAGTTATTATTACACAAACATTTCATGTTATTCTACATAACATCACGCCTTTTTATCTTCTAAGGGGTAGGCAGAGGTGCTCATTATGGCACTGAATGCCGCTGTACAATGAAATACCCACTTTTCACTATTTATGTTATGAGTTTAAGAATCCATGTAATAGGGGGTGAATCTATCGCCATATACCGGGCACAATTCCATACTCCGTGCTACTACTGAGAATTTTTTTAAAACCCAGTAATATTTTGCCAATCGCACTTGCAACCATTCGGCCAACGAGACATTTTAATTATGTTAATCTGTAACGCAGAATTCCAGTCTCTGTGCAATTCCTAAACTTAATAATTTTGCCAATATCAATAATAGGACCTCATGGTGGACCACAAATAACTATAATGCAGACTTCTTTTTAATAATTGGGTTTATTAACACTTGACTTACAACAAGATATCTAAAATTTACAGGAAGTCAGAGTAACCCTACTAGAAAAGGCAGCTGAAATTGGTGGTCACATTCTATCGGGTGCCTGTGTGGATCCTATAGCTCTGAACGAATTGATCCCAGACTGGCAAGAGAAGGGTGCTCCTATGAACACTCCGGTAACATCGGACAAGTTCGGTCTCCTTACTAAGAGTGGGAGGATACCTATTCCTGTGTTTCCTGGTAAGTTTGAACATAACATTACATCACGCCTTTTATCCTCGGAGGGGTAGCAAAAGGTGCACATTACGGCACTTAATGCGACTGTACAATGTAACGCCCACTTTTCACTATTTATGTTATCTTATGAGTCCCATATAGTAGGGGGTGAACCTATTGCCATTTATCGGACACAATGCCAGACTCCGTGCTATTACTGAGAGGTAGTTATAGAGTGAAAAGTTTAAACTATTGGCAAAATATTTGAACACCGGGTAAAAGTGGTTACCAGGTTCATGGTTCTCGAATGAAAGGCAGGTACTGTAGTTTATCTTAGTTCGCGCCTGAATATGTGTTTGTAATTACATTGCAAAATAAATCAATCATAATTGCTGCTTGCAGAGATAATAAACAAATTTTCGTAGGTAATTATTATAATTAATTAATATCATATTCGTTTGCTGTTTCCAGGTTTACCTAACTACAACCACGGCAACTATGTGGTGCGTTTGGGACACCTAGTAAGGTGGTTATCTGAACAAGCCGAGGCTGCTGGAGCTGAGGTAAAAGATTTAAATCTCATTTAAATATCCTGTAGACAACTTTCTGTTGGCCTGTGAAAGAGTGTCTTAGTACTACGTCTTAGGTAAAATCCTGAAGCATTTCAATTTCAATTCCCTCAGTTCTAATCTAGTGGTTCATGAGATCAATGAAAAAATGGGTTAAAATATGTTATTTAATAACTTCTTAATATTTCTCAGATCTGGCCAGGCTGCGCAGGCGCAGACCTGATATACCGCGACGATGGCTCACTAAAAGGTGTTGCCACGGGTGACGTCGGTATCGCTAAGGATGGCAGCCCTAAGGACATGTTCGAACGAGGCATGGAGTTCCACTCCAAGATTACCATCTTCACTGAAGGTGAGATTTGATTATTTTGTTTGTTGAGGTTTATTTGTGTTTAGTTAAAAGATAGACAGCTATTTGATTTTTGAACCTTATCGTAAGATTTCAACTATTTACAATGCTCCTTCAATAGTAATTCTAAATTATAGCACTGATTTCAACCATCATTTACCCCTTATAATTTCTTTCCAGGTTGCCACGGCCATTTAACAAAGATGATTTCAAATAAGTACAACTTGAGAGCGAACAGTGAGCCCCAGTCATATGGTATTGGACTTAAGGAGCTCTGGGAAGTTAAACCAGAGGTATGTTATAGTTTTGTATATTTTTTCTTTTTTTTATGGCATAAGCCGGTAAACGAGCAGACGGATTACCTGATGGTAAGCAATCGGCGTCGCCCATGGACACCTGGAACACCAGAGACATTACAAGTGCGTTACTGCTTTTTGGGGATTAGGAGTTTGAGGATCGTTGGGGATTCAGGGATTGGAGAGATTGGGGAAGGGGAGGGTAATTGGGCCTCCGGTAACCTCACTCGGCCTCACTGAAAACCGACGTGAAACAACGCAAGCGTGAGGCCGTGGGATCGCTCCGGTCGAGCCGGCCCATTCGTGCCGAAGCATGGCTCTCCCACACTTGAAAATGTATAAAATTGTTACTAATGTAAAACTACAGCTATTTTTGTTAACTATATGTTTGGTTCAGTACATAGCTGAGTGTAGATACTTATTGTTTTTGTAAATGATTGATGAATATTTATTACCCTGAGTGTGAAAATTCCTCGGTGTTATCGAGTGAGATATAAGAGAGTTATTAGAAGACTATTTTGTTGTAATATAGCCAAAACCTATTTGGCTATGGTCAACAAGAAAACACCATTATTACGTACATTTTGTAGGTCAACATAGCCAACCATGGCGCTCGAAACGTTAAATACCAGTCAGAAAAACATATACAATTGAAATCTATTCTTAATTTTTTTCCTTTTCAGAACCACAAGCCCGGTCTAGTAGAACACACAGTAGGTTGGCCTTTAGATAAGAACACATACGGAGGCTCGTTCATCTACCACTTGAAGGTGGCGGAGGGCGAAGCACCTCTCGTGGCCGCGGGCTTCGTCGTCGGCCTCGACTACTCGAACCCTTACCTCAGCCCCTTCAGGGAGTTCCAGAAGTTTAAGACTCATCCGTACATTAGGCCTATGTTTGAAGGTAAGATTATAATATATAATAAGGATTATTAGAAAAAAAGATTTACAGATAGCAGCTAGTAGGCAAAAACCATTTTGGTATTTGAATACTGATATGGTTTTTAGTTTGTAGTAGTTTCTATCTTATGTATACTATATATCTTACTAGCGACCCGGCTTCGCACGGGTGCAATATGCATGTATTACACATATAAACCTTCCTCAAGACTCACTCCATCTAATAAAAAAAAACCGCATCAAAATCCGTTGCGTAGTTTTAAAGATCTAAGCATACATAGGGACAGACAGACGGCGGATAACGACTTTGTTTTATACTATGTAGTGATGTATAATATCTTGTTGAAGGATTCTTTTGCTACATATCATACTGATTGACTTTAGTTTCCATTTTACTCGTTAATATTCTATCTCCAAGGATTTGGATGCGTGCTGCCTTCGACATACAATTTCTTTATCCATTATAATCACCGTCCTATAGTTTTTTTACTACAGAGAAAAGGTCTTCCATATAAATCGTTGTTACACTCGAATACTGAAAGGCTACTCAATTTTAAGTTGTACTTAAATATCGTGCCATCTCTGTCTTTTTACAAAGAATTTGTCGTTACAAAACTTATACTTCGACTTATGCTCGACCGGAGTGATACCACGCCCTCACAGAAAACAGACGTGAAGCAACGCTTGCGTCGTGTTTCGTCGTGTGAGTGAGGTTACCGGAGGCCCAATTACCCCCTTCCCCAGTCTCCCCAATCCCCGAATCCCTCACAATCCTCAAACTTCTAATTTCAAAAGGCCGGTAACGCACTTGTAACGTCTCTGGTGTTTCGGGTGTCCATTGGCGGCGCCGATTGCTTACTATCCGGTGATCCGTCTGCCCGTTTACGGCGTATCTCATAAAAAAAAAACTTAAGCGCGACTTAAAATTGAGTATCGTTTGAGTATTTCGACATTATATAGTCAACGGACGTAACACTGTAACAATTATTATTATGTTGTATTGCAGGTGGTTCCCGCATAGCATACGGCGCGCGCGCGCTAGTAGAGGGAGGCTGGCAGTGCCTGCCGGTGCCTGTGTTCCCGGGGGGAGTGCTGGCGGGGGACTCCGCCGGGTTCCTCAACGTGCCGCGGATCAAGGGCACGCATAATGCGATGAAGAGTGGTACATACATACATACATAACTTCACGCCTGTCTCCCATGGGGGTAGGCAGAGACTAAGGAACGCCAATTACTACGATTCTTACATACCTCTTTCGCTTCATTAACAGTCATCAATCTTTTCATGCATGCTCGTCGGTTAAGGGTACTTTTAATTTGGCCCTTCTTTAATATATCGCCAATCTGGTCACTATATGTCCGTCTAGGGCGCCCTCTACCGACGGCCCCATTCATATCCGCTCTGTATACTTCTTTCGTTACTTTACTTTCATCCATCATTTAATGAAGAATGGTATGTATTGTTTACGAATAATCAAATAATTTATTTTAATTATAATACACCAATATACTTTAGTTACTTACATACATATATTACCTCACTCCTGTCTCCCATGGGGTAGGCAGAGGCTATGGAACGCCAGTTCTTATATACGTCTTTCGCTAAGGATCTTCTTTACTTACTTATTTTTTTATTTTTAATCGATTTCTCAAAAAGGAAGTGGTTATATTGCTAAATACGTGCTTTTAACAGGTATGCTGGCGGCGGAAGCTGCAATGGATCTCATCATAGCCGGGGAGGCGACACACGAGAAAGGAGTAGTTCCCACACAGTATGAAGAGAAGCTCAAGGAATCTTATGTTTACAAAGAACTCAAGGTATGTAGATAATGTCAGTATTCGCAAATGTTTCAGAGTTATAGTAATATATTTCTAAAAATCTGTGATTTATTATATTGCGGGCCTATTTCACCGTGTTGTCTATGTATACATTTTACATTAAACGTATTGTTGACTATTTTTTTACGAAATAGTCGGCTAACAGCAATTTAACTCGTTGAGTACCGTCTTTGTAGACACAATTATAGAACAATAGGTTGCGGTCACGCGTGACCACTTGGTGTTTGACAATTTAATAGGAAATGGTAAATCAAATGGATAAACTCAAATACGTTTTTCCTAAAATAAGTCAACGTAATTTGTTCAAATAAGTTGAAACGAAAACAGTAGAAATAATAAGTAATTTGGACAAATGAATCAATTTATAAGCCTGTAACAGTACAAGGTTATTACTAAAGATGTATATATGAATTCCAGCAAGTACGTAACTGCAGACCATCGTTCCACACGTCGCTGGGTCTGTACGGAGGTGTCGCGTACTCTGCGTTCAGTACGCTCATGAGGGGGAAGGAACCCTGGACTATCAGCCATGGAGGTCAGTTACTATAAAAATTTAGTTTGTAAACAAATAAATTGAAACTGACCACTAGTTTTGGACATAACATAACATCACGCCTTTTATCCCCGAAGGGGTAGGCAGAGGTGTACATTATGCCACTGTACAATGTAACACCCACTTTTCACTATTTATGTTATGAGTCTCATGTAATAGGGCGTGAGCCTATTGCCATATACCGGGCACAAATCCAGACTCCGTGCTACTACTGGGAATTTTTTGAAAAACCCAGTAATACTTTGCCCGACTCGGGAATCGAACCCGAGACCCCTTGCCTGGCAGTCGCACTTACGACCACTCGGACAATGAGCAGTTTTGGAATGTTTTACATTATCGTAACCGCAACCGTTAATTATATAAGGTGCTCTATAATTATCAGCCACGGCTTTAATGGGAGGTAGTGTTATGTATACAGATTACAATTGTGAAGAAATTTCGTACCCCGGACCAGTTAATTACATAAATTAATTAAGTAAACATTGACTACATTCTGCATAATGTGGTTCACAAATTACGCGCGATGCGTCGCTTAGTCAATGAAAACAATTGCTATCTCTTTCCACGTGTACTGAGAATGAAAACGGAATCAGCTGACTACCTGTGCACCTTATATAAGAACACTCAACAATAATTTGGATACTAATAGTTCCAGATTTCCAGTTCGAGGCCCATAGGCTTTTTTTTAAGGGGGGAAAATCATCGAATGACTGCTCCCGCCTGGGTGAGGCGGGAGGGAGTGTCAGACTCTTACTGACTAAAAACCACCCCGTTCCTTCTCCTGCACGTCGAGCCGGAGCCCCGGTTACCCGTTAGGTTCTCCGCGACTAGGCCCATAGGCTAAGGACTTATGGTGCGATCTTCTCCCACGCCCGCGAGACCGCAGTTTTCTGCGATCCCGCAGCCGCCCGCGGTTGCGATTATCGCCCGCAAACTTGGCGGTTGATTATCGCAAGACGGGCGGGCGGATAAACAATAAGTCGAGTTCCAGCCCGGCCTCACATTGCGACCGCCTGCCAACCAACGCGGGTGCAGCCCGCCGCGGCTATGGGCGTGGGAGAAAATCGCGCCGCGACATCTAAGCCTAAGAGGCCTTCTGGAAATCTGGCAATATTTTAGTATCCAAATTATCGTTGAGTGTTATCGTTAATCTTATACTCTTATACATAACATCAGGCCTTTTATCCCCGGAGGGGTAGGCAGAGGTGCACATTATGCCACTGTATAGTAATATAACACCCACTTTTCACTATTTATGCTATGAGTCCCATGTAATAGGGGGTGAGCCTATTGCCATATACCGGACACAATTCCAGACTCCGTGCTACTACTGATATTTTTTTTTTAAACCCAGTAATACTTTGCCCGACCCTGCAATCGAACTCGAGACCCCTTGCCCGGCAGTCGCACTTGCGACCACTCGGCCAACGAGGCAGTCTTATACTCTTATACAATTAGATAAAGCTAAAGAATTTGTTTGCTTGAACGAGGTAATCGTTAGAACTACTGATCCGATTTGACAAATTATGTTCGTGTTCGATAGTTCATTTATTGAGGAAGGTTATAGGAATATAGGCTATAAAACATTACGCTATGATCAATAGGAGCCGAGCACCGGGAAGGAGTAACTCTTTTTAATACTTAGCGATCGACCTTGCGATAGACTCACCCTTTATTACATAGATCGTGACATGATTGATGATAAGTGTTACTATCTACGCTTTTGGGGATAAAAAAAGAAAATGTCTATACCCACATACAATAAGATGGAGACTTTAGCTATCCAACGTGGTTGATGTCCAAAATTCCTATTTAATAAATTTAACTCAACTCCAGGTGCTGATCACGCGAGACTGAAGCCTGCGAAGGAATGCCAGCCGATAGAGTATCCCAAACCTGATGGAGTTATCACTTTCGACCTGCTCTCGTCCGTCGCTCTTACTGGTGAGTTCTTTCAATTATTTTATAGTCATAATATTGTGTCCATTAAGCCTACTGCAATATAATCAAATGTTAAAAATTAAAAGGAAATATTGGTACGCTGTTTGTGTAATGTGTTAGAAATACAGAATTGGGTACTTTACTTATTAAAAAATAAATTATTTCGACTGTTCAATACTATAAAATATTAAAAAATAATCACACTTTCATTAGTTCATTTTATGACCAGCTTAATTATAGTATTTTTACAGCAATTTTTTAAGAACGCATTATTGTATGCTGCTTTGACGCTAAAAAAACGTGACATCACAATACACAATCGCGTACAAAATTCATAGAAAACTGTCGTTTTTGACAGTTTGGAAAAAGTATTGAATTTGACTAGTTGGCAAGTACTCAATTGTTCTAGAAAATTTACTATTCTTACTGGTATGTTAATTGTAAAGGAAATTATTAAAAGATCCAAAACTTATTTTTTATTTATATTAATTGTACACACGGCTACAAATCGAGCTTTACATAACCAGTATAAACTGAACGTTAAATGTGCGGAAAGATGATGCGACGCGACACCAGGATAAACTGGTTTTGTACAGATTGATGTGTGGCTGCGTGTACTTTATTTTAATTGCACACTAACACTAAATAATACCAATTTTTCAGGAACGAACCACGAGGCTGACCAGCCAGCCCACTTGACCCTGAAGGACGACACGGTACCTGTGAAACAGAACCTCGGAGTCTACGATGGACCCGAAGCTAGATTCTGTCCTGCAGGTTAGTAAAAATCAAAGAATTTAGTTCAAATTTTCCAAAGATCTATGATACAAAAGTATTTATTTATTATTTATTTATGTACACACATACAACATAAAGGACAACACATACATGAAATTAGAGTACATAATAAAGTAATGAATATCTATGTTAATGATTGATGTTATTTTTCCTTGTTTCCAAGATACCTGTTTATTTATGCCTCGTTGGCCGAGTGGTCGTAAGTGCGACTGCTAGGCCAGGGTTCGATTCCCGGGTTGGGCAAAGTATTATTAGGTTTTTAAAAATTTGTCAGTAGTAGCACGTAGTCTGGAATTGTGCCCGATATATGGTAATAGGCTCACCCCCTATTACATGGGACTCATAACATAAATAGTGAAAAGTGGGTGTTACATTGTACAGTGGCATTAAGTGCCCTAAAACGCACCTGTGTCTACTCCTCCGGGGATAAAAGGTGTGATGTTATGTTTTATTACGCTGATTATTTATTTTGATAGTGTTCAAAAGTACGAACACTAAAACATGTGTATTTATTAATCCTACATTATTTAAGTACTATCTTCTACCGGTTTGGCCCGTGTTCCCGTGTTAAAAAGTAGCCTATCTTTATTCTAAACCATAATCTACCCCCCTCGAAATTTCATTTCGATCCCTTCATCCGTATTGACGTGAAGGAATAACAACCACACAAACATACGAAATCTCGCGTTTATAATAATAGTAGGATCAGATTAGATTTTTCTTATGTAATAATTTTTCTACAGGTGTATATGAATTCGTGCCGATGGAGAGTGGCGATGGACAACGCCTACAAATCAATGCTCAAAACTGCATACATTGTAAGTTATTTCATTTTTAAATTATTAATGACTGCCTCGTTGGCCGAGTGGTCGTAAGTGCGATTGCCGGCCACGGGGTCTCGGGTTCGATTCCCGGGACGGGCAAAATATTATGGGTTTAAAAAAAACCCAGTAGTAGCACGGAGTCTGGAATTGTTCCCGGTATAAGGCAATAGGATCACCCCCTATTACATGGGACACATAACATAAATAGTAAAAAATGGGTGTTACATTGTATAGTGGCATTAAGTACCGTAACGTGCATATCTGCCTCCCCCTTCTGGGATAAAAGGCGTTCATGTTATGTATTATGTTATCTTGATAATTACCTTTTTTGCTGTATCAACCGAATATCTGGTTGGATTTCTGGGTTAGACTATTATATTGGCTTTATCGGTTTTTTGTTTAAAGTCTAGAGTTGTACTTGGCATAATAATATCGCGTTAGGCTCACACCCTTACTAAATAGGCTTTATAATATAGCTGGTGAAAAGTGGGTGTAACATTGTATACACTGCGAAATCTATTCCGATTTCGTCCCAAAGTAAAATAGTTCTGTCTCGGTGATACAATCGTTTTACAAAGAAATAAAATGTTTAAAATAAAAAGTAAGTGGTGAACCATTGCAACAAGCAAACTTCGAGAGCGCATACGAACTCATAGTACATTATCAAAACATCACGCCGCGCCGTGTAATTCTCGAAGAGGTATTTCTCGTCGGGTAGCACTTGCGATGGAAATGCCTACAAATTTACGTCTAGTGTTTCATGTGCATCTTTTTTTTTTGTTTTACTTTATACATCATAAAAGTACTCCAAGGCTTATGGCAAGTTGTTTTGCCGCGGTACGAAAATGAAATAGCTTTCACGGTGTATTATTATTATTAAAAGATTTGATTAATTTGTTTAGGTCAAAATTTAGTCATTGGAATTTTTCCCCGTCTTGACGGGGTCACACCATCGAAGTCGCGGCCAGAAGCTAGTTCTTAATACAAATTAAAACCGTTTTGCATAAAAAATATATTTTATGTCTTACTTGTGTACATCTTTGCCTACCAATCGGAGATTAACTGCCCATTCCCCAAGCGGTCACCGGTGACCACTCTCCACTAACCCCATTATAGACCTGATTTCCGATGTTTAAAGACTACTTTTGTATGAACAAACGTTGTGCATTTTTCATAATAGGGAATCCCCTAGGGAGTAGTAAGGCATTTTTTAAATTGATAATGTGTCTTTTCAGGCAAGACATGTGACATCAAGGATCCATCGCAGAATATAAACTGGGTGGTTCCTGAAGGAGGCGGCGGCCCCGCTTACAACGGCATGTAAATTTATCATAGACGACCAACACCTCTACTATCTATTGTCTATACTGCCCGAATAAATATAACCTCATTTTTATGTAATTGATCCTATAAATGTGTATAGTATTTGTAAGTCGGATCATGTTTTAGAGTCATTTATTAGATTTTTTTTTGTATTTAGACAATCTTTAAACTTTTTTCTGTTACTATTCGTTTCTCAAAGCTATGTTTCCTATGATAAAAGTGTTCTATTATATCATTTCTAGTGATAATCCAAAGTGTAAATTCATATCACTCATTTATACTTTCAAAGCATAAAAACAAAGTGTAGCTACTATTCTTCATATGTATGCATGGAAAGAATAAATGTTATGTAACGATAAATAAAATTATGTATGAAATAAATTGACCAATATTTGTTAGTAGGTAAAATAGAAGGTAGCATGAATTCCTGACTAGTTTGTTTATAAAAATGTATCAAATTAAGCTTCCTGTACAAAACTGGTGCTGTGTACGTTTCCATATTTATCTTGAATTTGAATGTGAGTATGATGATCCCAATTAGATTTTAAGTGTTAATTTTACATTGAAAATTAAATAAATTATATTTTAGATACAAATTGTATTTTATTTTAGTTAATATTACATGGTTTACTCACATAACTGTTCGACGACGTTACTCGACTAGTTTCAAACCTCGCTGGGGAGCCAAAATCATGCTATAATCCCCATGTTTGACAAGTAAACTTAGGATTGCGGTAATATCACTAAAATTTTAGTGGATAGTCGCAATGTTAGAATATAATTAAATCGAACACAGTTTTTAATTTCAAAACATGTTTATAACGTAGAAAATGATAAGAAAGATGATTATAGGTGTGTGTGGTAAATGACATAGACTTATTTGCGAGGATGATGCCAGAATTTCATTTTCTACGTTTCTCGGCATATGCTCCAGTTCCATCTGAGGCGTGGTACCAGATTGTGCTAGAGCCACGTGCACTGCTCGTACCTATAACAAGAACATAGTTTAATTATAAAACAATTTACGCGATTGATGAGTAGAATTCATTAGAGCACCTTGCTTCACTGGCGGACAGACTGACGGACTATACTTAGTACATTGTTTTTATCATTTCAAAAGTATCTGTATGGTTTCATTGAAATATATGCTTTTTGACTTTGACATTTATAATTATAACTAGTCCTATTCTTCCCGCGGGTAACGTTAATATCCTCTAGCCTGCCAAGGGTATACGCTAGAAGGCTTCTAGAAGACTAGAAGTTGCTAGAACGGTTTTAATTTAACCATCATCAACTTAATTAGAACCTACATAACTTCCGAAGCTATGAACGATTTAACAGATAGCCGTAGCTCCGGTTAGAAACAGGAGTAAGATCGGACTGGTTTTTACTCAATAACAACAAAAATTTCTACTTCTTTATGTTGTTCCCGCTATTTTTCGTCTTATGATGTATTTATTTGTTTCATATTAAGCTTAAATATTACTTCTTAGCAATATGTACATATTTGTAATATATTTGTATTTGTATAAACCATTTTATTTACTAATTTTATTTTTGTATCTAACACACTACATACAGTTTGTTTTTATTTCTTTATTATTAGTCTTCTTACCTACTATCCGTGAGTCATTGGCCGTGGGCAGGGTGCCACCAGAAGACCAGCGTTGAGTGTTACCACGCTCAACACAATGCTGAGGTGGAGTCCCGTTCGACACGGGCATGCATGCAATTTTTGCTAATTTTGCGATGCTTATTTTTTGTTTTAAATTTGTTTTTATTTATATATTTTTTTTATTTCTCATTTTTGTGTACATATCTGTGCATGCAATGTGTCGAATAAATGTTTTTCTTTCTTTCTTTCCTTAATAATAGTAACACTCCCACTCGCCTCACACACGGTAGGAGAAGTCATTGGAAAACTTGCCCCTCCACATATTCTCTTGAAACAAAACCCTGTATAACTTATAGGTTCAAATCATACTAACCGTGTTGACAGTTCGTGTAGGCCGCTTCATAGATTTAAAATGCGTTTCAGTTGTTGTTGCTGCTATATTATTATCATCTTCTGGATATAATTTGGCCTAAAAACAATAAAGGATAATAATAATTAACAATTGCCTTTTGTAATCTGCCTCGTTGGCCGAGTGGTCGCAAGTGCGACTGCCGAGCAAGGGGTCTCGGGTTCGATTCCCGGGTCGGGAAAAGTATTACTGGGTTTTAAAAAAATTCTCAGTAGTAACACGGAGTCTGGAATTGTGCCCGGTATATGGCAATAGGCTCACCTCCTATTACATGGGACCCATAACATAAAATAGTGAAAAGTGGCTGTTACTGTACAATGGTAAGGTGCCGTAATATACGTCTGATAGGTAGAGGACCTTTGGGGATAAAAGGCGTGAAATTATGTCACATTATGTTATAGCATTAAGTCGATATCTTTTTTGGTGACTGTCAGGTTTATTACCATATTTGTGACTGGTTCTGGTGACTTCTTCTGGTACATATTCAGTGGAGTAACGTGTTGAATAAATTCTTCCATGATAAACCTGGCTCGAGCGATGACGGGCTCCAGTGCTTTCATCTGCTTCGCTATCGTAATCGGCTTCGTTACCGTCAAGTATTTGTTTACCTGAGAATAATCGCAGTAAAAACCTATTTTAAAACTAAGAACTTCCCGGAACTATTTATGTTTTATCTACTGTAACGACAAGGTTGGTACTTGGTATGAAAGAGAAATTAGAAGAATTCACCAGGCAAGACTGAAAATTGCACTTCTATGAAACCGAGACGGGTTGCTACCATATAAGCATATGCACATGTCGTAATCGTTACACATCTGAGTTGCCTTAAATGCCATGATTCTAGCACTCTTCTTTCATTTAATCAATTGCTACATACACGCTCATCGATTGTGGACCCCTTTTGAAGTTAAAATCTCTTTACCTTGTTTATAGGACACCATCCGAATTTTTTAGTGGTGACAGGATCTGTAACTGTCATCCAGGTCATAGCCAGAATCCTGGGGAATGTAGTGTGCGGTTCTCCCATCATTACGCCTGGAGTCTTGACCAAGGAGTCCAGGTCTGGTTCTGCATCCAACATGGATGTTTCAACCAGCAGTTTGGTGCGCACTAGTGCTTGAATCAGATCTGTCACTATGTTGCCTTCATCACCTTCCAAATTTCTGTAATCATAATGAAGATAGACTGATAGTTTGGTCGTCTCCAAGCATCGCACCGACAGTTAAGGGGCCTTGGAGTTAATTGGGGATTTTACGAGTTTTCGTCACAGTAGTAACATGAAGTTATTCAATTTTAACTGTGAAAAGTACCTAAGTAAGTTGGCTCCTTGGGAAGGGAAGAAAAACCAACCTTAGATTAGATTTTGCGCAAATCTACAATCCCCAGCAAGTACAGATAAAAAAATAGAAGCAGAACTTACTTCAGCAACTCCAGCATCAACCTTGCTACTTTCCCAGACGCTGGTCTTGCATACGAGATGCAGTCAGTCGATAAACTCCTTGCTGGAGGAGCAGGTTCAGTTTCGAAGGCTGCAGCGAGTTCCCTCTGCCGCTGGTCTTCCGCAGCTAACCAGTCCAGCGTCAGCGCTGATCTATAGGCCGCAATACCAGATAGCGTGGCCTTTGTCAAATTTTGAGGGTTGTAGTAATAATCTTCTGCATTAGTGCCCTTAAAAGAAGAGAATAACATAATTATGATACTACTTATAAAATTGACTTAGGTAGTCAATATATTACTGGAAATCCAAAAGGACTTGAAACTTGGTTAATCAGGTACCTTAGGTTTTAAGTTCAGTTTTAATACCATATCATCAGAGAATAGACTGATTCTTAAATCAGTCTATCCTATGATGAAATTCGAATGAAATGCAGTTCAGTAGTTAAGTACTTTAAGGCAATGATACACTAGGGGACAAACTATGTTCCAAGACATGTATCGGCGGCATGTCAGCGAAGCCTGCCGACTTTGCCTGACATATTATAAGGCGACAATGCGCGCCTTATGTTCACAGCGACGTTGATGTTGCCAGACATGTCGACCAAAGTCCGACAACGTCACGCTACTTCACCCAACGTCACGTGTGTCGCAGCACATTTGTCCCCAAGTGTATCCTTGGCTTTATCTTCACGTCACATAAAGCCCATAAATAAAAAATAATATACGAACTCCTCACAGGAATCGAGCTCAGGAATATGTCTTAAAAAGTCGCTCACGTCTATTAAATCAACGTCACAGAAAAGCAAAAGTCAAAACATGAAAAGTTTTTCGTTAAAAAAGATACAAAGTTAAGGGAAAACTTTTTCAATTCTCTTTTCTTTTTAAGTCGAATGAATGTATAAATGAGTTTAGAAATATTATTAAGTTGGACGTGAAGGGAAAATATTTTTATTAGGAACTGAAGATAGACTGTCTTCTGATTTACCATCTTTCTTAGAAGATAAACTTAGCAGAACTTTAAACCTTTAGTAGCTTATTTCAAAGTCAAAGTAGAAATAATTTTTTTTAATTATACCAGGCACTTTTGAACGACAACAAAAATTTTACAGTGAAGCTATTTGGTCATTTCAAGATGTAAATTCCTATGGAGAAGAACGAGCAAGAAACTCCATAGGTTTGATTACTGTTTTATGCGAATACCTAATCCTGATGGTACCAGGAAGGCACTTTTGAACAACAACAAAAATTTACAAAGTGAAGGTATTTGCTCATTCCAAGGTGTTTTCTATGGGGAAGAACTGAAAGATTGATTGTTATTTTATGTGAATACCTAATCCTGTAATCCGGTATATTTTGCTGAACATACAATGTCATACATACATAATACATAGCATATTAATTGCAACACTCACTTTTATCTGTTTTATGAGTTTTATCTAGGTCCGTGGTGCCCAACCGGTGGTCCTTGGACCACTGGTGCCAGAAGGCCCAGAAGCCAAAATATCCGCGAAATAAAAAAAATACACAAATCTACACTTCGGCCTCATAGACACTTTGGTGAAAATTTTAATAAATAAAAAAAATCTCGAACTCGTCTCATGAGGAGACTGGATAATATTATGTTATGTACTGTGGGTCCACTTACAAGTAATAATAACAAATATTACAATTATTTGTTGTTAGTAACAATGATAAAAAAATGGTCCTTGATCAAGAAAAGATTAACCCCTAATCTAGGTGATAGGCCCACCCAAACACTATTGCCTGCCACAATTGTAGACTACGTGCTGGAGAAATGTCTAAAAACTGAAATAGTCGCTTAGCGCCCACTTGACTCGACCCGGTAACCGCAACCAACTGCATAAAGTATAAGTGACTTATACCTGTACGTGCTATGTCCCATCATACTCATTTAGATAGATAACATAGAAAGTAATAAAAGCTAACTTTTATCGCGCCATAAAATGTTCAATGCATAACAAAAGACTCGTTTCCATTGGAAAAAATTGTCAATATCCATTAAAACAAACACAGGTGCAGCCATAAAGAGTTTACTGTTAGCGGTGCCTCGTACTTCAACGGAAAGTGATTTTAATAGTTTATTACACTACGTCGAAACGATAATACGGTCATAAACGAATTTTTTTTTTATGGCATAAGCCGGTAAACGAGCAGACGGATCACCTGATGGTAAGCAATCGGCGTCGCCCATGGACACCTGGAACACCAGAGGCGTTACATGTGTGATGATTTTATCGTGTTTGAACTTCTATGGTATCTTGGTGATATTTCGTGACTTAAAATTTGGTCCCAGAAAAGAGAAAGAAATGGGACGGTGTGAACGGAAGCTGTCTTAGTGTCTTATTTAACAAAAAATAGGTCAATCACATTGACGCTAAGCAATGTAACAGATATAAACACGCTGGTCAAGCCAATCAAGGCCTTTGGTAGATTAATCCAACAATCCATTTCAACTTCAATCCATTTTTCTAAATTATGTCTTCCTGAAATGCTTCTTCAAGTCTAAGACGTAGTACCAATTTATCAAATGTGACTGCCTATTTTCTCTATTACACTGGATAAGCGACGATAATATCATACTATTTGACTGCCTGTATGCTTAATAGATTGTCTTTAGACCCTCTATAATGGGTCCGAGTGTGATATAGTGACTATACAGCCGACCCGACCGAGTTTATAACAAACCCCATTTTATGTTGCGGAAAATTAAACTATCCGATGTGGTTGGGAACTATGGGAACAAAGGACCTCATGTGGTCTAAATCCATTATTAATTTTATGTTCGAATAGTATTTTGGTACCTAAATGTCGTGCTTGTCCAAACGTAAAGGTGCATGTCTTTTAAGCAGGAAGATACGACTTCTATAATCTATATTATGTACTTTCTAAGTTTATTAACTCGTTACTGATATATGACTGCCTTGTTCGCAGAGTGGTTGCAAATGCAACTGCCGGGCAATGGGTCACGGGTTTGATTCCCGGGTCGGGCAAAGTGTTATTGTGTTTTTTTTTTAAATCTCAGTAGTAGCACGGAGTCTGGAATTGTGCCCGGTGTATGGCTATAGGCTCACCTCCTATTACATGGGACTCTATAACATAAATAGTGAAAAGTGGGTGTTACATTGTACCACTCTACAATGCAACACCTACTTGCAGAGGTGCACATTATGCCACTGCATAATCATATTAGGTCATTAATTTATGTTAGCCGTTTTTTTACAAACTTTTATTATATTATTGAATCTTAATAAACGCGTTTGTACATTTTATGTATGTTATTTATTCACGATATTTGTAAGATAGACAAAGCCTTTTTGCCTATATGGACTGCACACCACTGAGGTCATATGCAGCACGCTTGGTGACCGGCTCATTTCTGCCTTCCTTTTCATGATCGTGTACTCTCGGCACAGTTAAATTACTTACCTAAATAGGTACTTAAAAAAGTTAATATCACTTACCTTAGCCCATAAAACCATGAGGGGAATCATTATTGAAATCATTTCAAGTACATCTACTCAGTAATTTATATCTTTCGTATGTTAAAAAATATTGCGACACTACTCGGCATTTTGTGTTGACATTTCTTTCTGTTAGCTTGTCTTTAGATCAGAAAGATTTAAAAAGTACGGGGAAGAGACGTCGGAAATTGGCACAAAAGTATTTGAGCAAAGAGTATTGACATTCAAATCGATTTGGGTTAAAAAAATCTCGTAGTGGTTGGAGAAGGTAGAACCTTTTTTTATATTTGATGGGCCGACGTTTGGAATCTCGCCTGGTGGTAAGCGATAATCCGGTCTATGATGGACAATGATGGAGCACGTCGTGAACTTTTCTTTTGGCTTAGCTCCTATTGTGAAACTAATTGAAAGACAGTAACCACGCAATTTCTCGCTCGCTCTTCTCTAAGCATAAGAATCTACACTATAGAACGAGCAAGACCAAGTATGGACCGAGTCCGATGGATAAGTATACTTATTTTTGTGTTTGTTAGTGTGTCTAATATTACTCATGTGACTTTGTTCATTTCACTCCAAGTGTTTGTCTCCAAGTTTGTGGCTCTCCAGAAGATTACTCTGCAAGAAAAGTATAAAAACTAGCGCTGCTGCCGCTGCTGCCGCTGCTGCGCTATTAGCTATACCTGCAATAGACGATAGAATTTTGTTGTTGTCATTTTGACAGTTACCATCAAAATAAACTGAACATGGAGTAAATCGTAAAATTACATGCGACATGTTCTCATTGGAGACAAATTAACATGAAACATAGAAAGAGACGGAGATGGCACAGAATATATGTCATGTATTGTTTTGGTTGAGTCTTGTGGTTAGTAGATACAACATTTACGAAGACTGGCAGACCTTTAAGCAGCACGTACACCCACCAGGTGCCATGGAACAGGACACATCCTCGTTGCCATCAACTGGGGATAGTTTCAGGGTCTATCATCGTGATGAGAATTTGACTGACTTAATCCACCTTAGGCATCAACCAGGATCCGCAGCAGTCACACTAAAGATCACAGTATCAACAGAATTCAGAATAATAGTCCTACTGAAATTTGAATTTGTGTTGTGTAAAACAATATACCTACACATACACAATGTGAAACTTTATGAACCTATAATAGAGATACAATGCATCACCATGTATCATGATATTCCAATATTATTTCCAGTGGCCGTCTTTTTGCATAGATATGGATTTGGAATCAGATTTTCAAGAAGACCGCTGGTTGTTCAAACATTCGCCCCAGGAACGGAAAGTGGGGCATGAAATGGCATGCGCTGCTGTGCGACCTACGGCGCGAGATATTGTCAGGCGATTCTATGCGATTTTGCCGTAGTAAGTAAATAGATAATTAAAAAAAACAGTCACTTCTAGGTATAATTTAGAGCAAAGGTATATGAGCAAAATGGGCAAATGCATTGAGATGGGAATCCATAAACAAGCTCTTTTTGTCCGAAATTGTGTTGTAGTTTAAAATCTCGGATTCAAATCAGATGTAAATAGATTTGAATGTATTTACATGTACTACATTACATAGAACTACATCGGCCAAACATTGAGCACGGAAAAGTATTTAAAGTGACTAGTATTCTTTTAAATATTATTGATATAATTATATTTCCATGACTAATCTGTAAAGGACCCTAGGTAATTGGATGCAATATGTTGAAGATGGAGCTTAATGGTTTACTATTTTAGAGAGGCCATGCTCAAGGGGGGTGCTGATTGCTTACCATCAGTTGATCTGACTGCTTTTTTGCCTGTACTCCATAAAAACGGTGAAAGGAAACAGAATGGTGACGATAATGTTTTTCCAGTTTCGACAAGGACCACACGAATACGGCCTTCCTCCATAAGTTCCGTGGCACAATCTACAGCATGTCTGACAGTGAGGATATGCTGGACCGCGAGGCTGGCTTCTACGCTGCAGTCCTCACTCCCTTGGTCTTCCTACAACAGTATCGTGACACCTGGTGCCTCCTGGAACGCGTAAGTCTTGAATTTTAGGGATAGCAGTAAAATATTGATTGGAGTCTAAATGGAAGGACGTATGCTATAAATGGAACATATTATATTTGTGGACGAAACAAGGAAAGGATGAATCCGTGTTGGAGTGTAGAATTTTTTGTTCAGTTAGCAGATCGTTATTGCCGCAAAGCATATTCATATTCATATTCATTTATACCATAAAGTGAATAAGGTGTTACAATACGCTTAAAGCTAAGTAACATTTATGGACCCCGTAAGGGCACAGCATTTGATAAAATGAAGTTAACATTTTTAAAAATAAAGTTCGTATATCTGCCGTTTATCAGATCTACTGTTGCTTTCCAAATAGCTGACGGCCTATTTGAATTTTCAAAACATCTGTAATTATAATGTTAATTGGGCCCAACTATTTTCGCGTACCAATATTTGACTAACATTTCGAATAGTCAATAGAAAAATTGTGACAAAAAGATTTTGCATTAATAAAATAATTTATGTATAGTTTCACAGGGCAATAAGGCTGTATCAAGTTTCACATCCGACTGAAAAGAGGTCGGCGTTAAAATTGCTTCAGAATTTAAGAGCAGTCAATCAGAAGGTGAATTTGGGTTAAATACTTTATTTATTTATTTCAATGATATTCCTATGAATATGCCAATGCATATGATGATGAACTTTTTAACTTGGTAGATTCGAGGATTCATTTTCGAGCTGCCAGGCCAGGAGCAAGTTCCCAGGACGACGTCAGCGCCAGAGAGTGAAGATGACGACGCACTCCACGATAAGAAGGATATTAGGTATCTCAAAGAATTGATTAAAAACCTCGGGTAAATATTTATGGCTTTTATTTTCTTATACATAGATCCTTACACAGTATTGTATCGCTTACATAATGACATGATAAACATAACAACACGAATGGAAACCAATTATAACACATTGTGCATTGGTCTTTTTGTCATTTGGTAATTTAAAGTTATGGCTAACGTTTACTTTTCTAACAATAATCAAATAAATTATATTAAAACTTTCGTGAGCCATACTAAATTAATTATTATTTTTTCGGCTTACTCACGTACCTGTTTGACGAGGAACTTGACTGGTTTCAAGCCATGATAGAGGCTCATATTCACGAGCAGCATTCCATGGTACTCGACGCGGCGACTGACGCACTGCTACTGGTACCGATACTACAGTAGCAGCGCGACGGTCGTCGCAAACATAATAATTTATTAAAGAAATTAATCAAAATGTCGATAGTAATTATTTCGGTTCAGAGGCGTAGTTTTATCAAAGAAACATGTAAGCCAACAGACAGTCATCAGAAACATAAAAACTACAAACAAAAAGATTAAAGGCCGGACGTAATCGCAGGGATAGAAATATTTGTAACTATAAGCCAGGCAAAATGGCGAGTCTTTTGGAACTTTCTTGAAAGGTTGTTTAAAACTACGCACTACAGCTCCGCTATCGTTAACGTACATTGTTGATACCAATTGATGTTTTGGTGATACTCTCTTGACACACACAATAGCTTCGTTTCTTTTTACTTCATTCATCTTTTCTCCGAATAATCTGTAAATCGAAATAATAAGGCATTATTGCCGCTTGCAGTCGATTCTAGGGTTAAAATAGGGTAGATGCCTATTTTTTACTTTAATGCCTGCCTTATTTTAAAGGTTATTTCAAATCATTAGACACGTATTTTGTATTTTCTTACAAAAACGAATACTTTAAACGATATATTGATTTGATATGGCGCGTGACGTCACTTCTATATATGTACATATATTTTATACGTAGAAATGACGTTTTACCCCCCACTCCTAAACTTTGATTCGTTTTAGCTACGTATTGTTTTATTATACGACAAAATAAAGAAATACGTGTCTAATATTTTTTCATTACCTAACTTACGGATTAATTATATTTTTTATTATCATACCCTGTCATCACCCCAATTGAAGTTTAAAAAATAAGATATTTAGTAATTCGCCGAGCCTATCAAGGAATAAAGAAAAGATTTTGAATAAGTATGTATTACCTGTAAAATTCATTTTTCTTCGTTTTGTCAGTAAAACTATTGATGTTGTGTCGATTAATATAGGCGTCAGCGATGATTGCAACACCATTTCTGATATCATTATCCATATTATCACAGTTGTAGTCGTTAGAGTTATGCGAACGCAAACTGACTGAGAACACGTTTATATTTTGTGATAATTGTGATATCTGAAAAAAAAATAAGTATTACCTAGCCTAAGTTTAAGCCTTAGTACGAGTTTTCTAAGACATTAACTCGTGGAGTACCATCATTATAGACACAATTAAAGAAGGTTGCGGTCACCGGTGACCGCTTGGTGTTTGACAGTTTAAACGCCATGGGGGTCACCAGTGACCAACGTTAGCGGAGGATTTCCCTTCAACAGTTTTTTTATTGGCAGTCAAAACCTTAAAGTAATCGAAACGAGAATGCGTTCAGCGCTGTGATTGGCCGGCTCCAGTGAACCAACCAATCAAAGCGCCGAACGCGGTCTGGTTTAGATTACTTTAAACGTAAATGAAACTTGTACTAAGGTCTCTTATTCGTTGGTTCATTGGTGAAGGCCAATCAGAGCTCTGAACGAGTAATTGTTTCGATTTCGTTAAACGTAGAATCAACTACCACAAGACTATCGGCAAAGCGTCACCTTCGACCATCCACCATTCATGGTGGATGTCCTACTAACATGCACGAAGCGCTTCGCATCAAGCTTCCTGATGAGTACAGTTAAGGAGTGGAATTCTTTGCCAGAATCTGTGATTCCCGAAGAGATAACCTGGTCGTCTTCAAGGCCCGAGTGAATAGCTTGCTTATGGGACTACGTGCTCTATCGTAGACAGCATCATCGCTTACCACAAGGCGAGGTAGTGGTGAAATGTCGGCCCATCAAATATATTAAAAAAAAGAAACTCGTACCGAGTCTTGACTTCAAGTAACTTATCTGACATCGGACGTGGGTAATACCCAATTGCAATGTTTTCCAATGTTTAGGGACCACTTTTGTATGAATTTTTCGTAATCGTGAATTTAGAAGTGATCGATTTTTGACATTAGTTGTATGAAGTTTCTATCATAAAACTTGAATCATTTTGGACTAGAATATATTTTTTATTTTCGGCCGTTAGAGAAGTTGATATCTAATGCCGCATTTACATTTGTCTGATGTGACGTCTCGTCACGTCTCGTCACGTTTTAACGTCGTTAATTGGCCACACAACTCATATTGGCGACGTAATCTTGATTGACTTAATTTTGAACAGAGTTATTTGATTGGTGGATCTTGGGTCACAACGCCTTGTGAGTATCTTAGAATTGAACATAACATAACATCACGCCTTTTATTCCCGAAGGCGTACGCAGAGATGCACATTATGCCACTGTAGGTACAATGTAACATCTACTTTTCACTATTTATGTTATGAGTCCAATGTAATAGGGGGTGAGCCTATTGCCATATACCGGGCACAATTCCAGACTCCGTGCTACTACTGAGAATTCTTAAAAACCCAGTAATACTTTGCCCGACCCGGGAATCGAACCCGAGACCCCTTGCCTGGCAGTAGCACTTGTGACCACTCGGCCCGTTGGCCGAGTGGTCACAAGTGCTACTGCCATTAATATAGACATAATATAGACATTATAAGATAGACTGACTCGTTGAGTCAGTCTATCTTATAATGTCTATCTTAGAATTGAAATGTTCTAAAATACGGGTCAAATCAGAAATAATAAATAAATTACTAGTTACCTGTTCATTCAGTAAATTCAACTCTGTGTCTTTCATATCCCTTAAAATCCACGTGGTTTTAGAGTGACTGCTTTTAGAGTGCCTGGTTTTGGATATTAATTCAAATACATCATTACCCTTCTCCATGTTAGCGATGACTATCATTGGTGAGGCTTTTCTCAATTTTATTGTTAGCTGAAAGTTGATGTTTTTTATTTTTTTATTGAACTCGTTGAGTACCGTCATTATAAACACAATTAAAGAACAATAGGTTGCGGTCACCGGTGTCCTCGCGGTGTTTGACAGTTTAAGACATTGCCCCATACTAGGATTTTCTCCTATGTTGTCGCTGTCGGTGTGTTTACAAACATACAAGTTCAAATACATAATTACACCCAGACCAGAAACAACAATTTGTGGATCACACAAAGTGTTGTTCCGTGCGGGAATAAAACCCGCGATACGATGTACGACAGCCGTTTGCCCAGCCACTGCGCCAACCGTGCAGTGAATTTATTTTTTATTTATCGATTGTTTATTTCTATAGATATAGTTTTACGGCCATTTTCTATAATTTGCATTGTAGATTTGCATACTGCGATAGAATTTTGACACATTTTGTATGGAGCTTTTGTCAAAATTCTATCTTAGTAAGCAAATCTACAGATAGATAGGTTATAGAAAATGGCCGTTAGTGTATAGTTTTATGGGATTTAAGCTGGTAAACGAGTAGACTGATGGTAAGCAATCGGCGCTGCCCATGTATGTACACCCGAAATACCAGACGCATTACCAGCCTTTTGGACAGAAGAGGGAATTTGAGGATTGTTGGGAATTCGGGGATTGGGAGGATTGGGGAATTAAGCCTCCGGTAACCTGTACCTTAAACTTACGGATCATAATTTTTTTTTTGTAATATTTATTTAATTTTTTTACTAGGATCATGCTACCAACACTTATTTAGAAGAGACATAAGTAGTAGTTTACTCTATTCAACCGAGGAATATAATATACGTACGGAATATTGCCAAACCATTTGGTAAATCTATACATATAATGAA